GAGCACTCCGATGAAAACAGAACGTTATCCCACAACAGAAACAGTTTTGAAAATAAATAATATATTGACAGAAAAAGCACTTAAACATGTGGTTAAAAGAGAAAGGACCTTATTTAGTATCACTCTCATAAGAGATTAAATCAGTAGCATATAATCTCCTGTTCTTCAATACAATAAGAGCAACTAAAAAGACTCACAATCTTCAAACTGGAGCACATGACATAGGGGGAGAGGGAAGGATTTCATTCAACCATCGTATTGTGGTCTAGTCTTTATACAAAACTATTGTCTTTACTAAGTATAACTCATTACTACAAATAAAAACAGCACAGATACAAAGTTGAGATATTTTCGATGAAATTTGTTTATTATAAGGACTGCAGGAATGTAGAGGATTGTCATTCTACAAATAAATTATGTTCTTTGTATTCTTCTTAAGCACTTACATTTCTAAAGGATTTCAGAAGGTAGGTTATCTTCTAAGTCTACCTAATACTGCCTTCTTGTGCACTATCAATTCTCAGTGACATCTTCACCCATCATCTGATTCACAGCAGACAGAATTCTGCACATTAGCACATTGAGCAACCATTTGTACTCTTCCTCCGTTTGTGTCCCTGTATTACATTTCCAAAACATTATTTAAAACATCCTCAAAATAAAAGGATTTCTCTCTTGATATGTCCCTCTTTGGTACTCATACCTAAGAAATCCACGCTTCATAAATGCATTTTAAACACTCCCTCTACTTATTTTTCCTTTTTCACGCATAAGCACCTCAGTCTTTGTGACTTCCAGACATCCAATTGGAGATATCTGCAACTTAATTTATCAGCATTTAGCAGCTGTATTTTCAAAGTATTAAGCCATACCTTCTTTATTTTGCATCTCTTTTGAAAACTATACCTCTAAAGTAGTAATTTTGCTAGATGACATCCTGAAATAATTCATACAACATCAGCAACAGGCAAAGTTATCCCACAACAGAAACAGTTTTGAAAATAAACAAATAATATATTGACAGAAAAAGCACTTAAACATGTGGTTAAAAGAGAAAGGACCTTATTTAGTATCACTCTCATAAGAAATTAAATCAGTAGCATATAATCTCCTGTTCTTCAATACAATAAGAGCAACTAAAAAGACTCACAATCTTCAAACTGGAGCACATGACATAGGGGGAGAGGGAAGGATCAGAGGCAGAAGAAATATTGATGGTAAAGCCACACTATGTAGGGAAGTGACATCAGGAAGTTTGTAAGAAAATTTGGGATTCTATGACTACCACTTCACTTATCCATACATCTGTTGAAACATATCTTAAACTACCACTGAAAACATCACTTTTCAATCTAATTATGGGTCAAATAATCAACTATAATTGAACTATGCTCGAACTGAAAGGCAAAATATATAAATACTTCAGCATTCTTCAATGTTTTTGATTACAAAAATACTGTTCAAACTGACATCAACTAAAATTCAACAGTTCAGCATTTCTGCAAATCTAATCTTATGTTTTAGTTTAGTATCCAGAATTGACTCCAGCTTCTATTGGGAATCCAGCAGTCAAAGTTACATTCCCCATGCAGTCTTTTCTGAAATACATGAACCCTAGTAAGCAAAGAGGCCCAGGAAATTCAAGCTCTCTCCACCTTCCCCTTCATACATACATTCAAACACATAAACAGAAGTCCCTTCCCCAAAATGAATGAGAAGTAATGGAGTTGCTATAAACACTGATTCAGTTTTCTTTCTTGCTTGCTTTAGTTTACCTTTGTTTTGTTTTTCATTTTTACAAGACTGAATCCTTTTGGAAGTCACCAGGATACTGAAACAGGTAAGTGTTGCAGCCATTCATCAGATAAGAAAACTAATACATTAGTATTTGAAAGCGTATATATAAACAATACATTCCATCTTTTAGAAGGCTGTTTTAAAATGATGCCAGTCAACGACCACCTCCTCATAAAGTTATTTGTACGCTTATCTATTGACAAGTAAGCATATAGTGACACGCACAGACTTTGGAAGTTGGATCTATAATATCTTCATGCATGCCCTGCTTTAAATAAATCTTTTAATCTTCTAAAAAGAAAATATTATTTTCTTTTAGTAAATTAAGATGACAAAGTTACACAGTTCACCCATGGGAGGAAAAAAACAGGCATGTTTTGTCATCCAAAGTTTGTCCTACGCGTGAAGTTTGAGTTTTCTTTTTAAATGAGAAATGATAATGTCAGTTAAAAATAAATAAATCCATTCCTGCAAAAAAATAAATAAAAAAAATAAATAAAAAAATTCTTAGTCTCCTGGAATCTACCAGTGAATTCATATCAAAATGGATTAACTCCCAAGCTGACAGCTTACACAGAGACACCGCAACAGCTGAATCATCTTTTCCTCTAAGGTTTGAAGGCTGCAGAAACACAAATTCACAATTAGCCAAATCCACAGCGTTTTGGATATTTTTATCCTTCTAAAACAAAATTACTTTTTCCACAAGCCACTGCAAATATGTGTAGATCAGAAAAAAAAAAACAACAAACAAGGTCTCTAATGCCACCCAATCTTTGGTTTGTGGGCAACTTTTGCTTCTGAATCTTAATAATTGATGGATTCTTAATGCTTACTGAAGATATCAAGAGGACTGCATCACTTACTACACTTCAGGGATTAAGCAGTGTGAAAAAACAAAGATAGTAACAGACTGAAATCCTGTCTTAATAATAGTAGAAGACTGATCTACTAATTCAACTGAAGCAAGGATTTGACAGAATCACAAGATTTGGAAGGCACAACTGGAAACCACCTAGTCCAAAACCCTCCACTAAAGCAACCTACAACAGGTTGCACAGGAGTGTCCAGGTGGGTCTTGAATATTTCAAGAGGAGACTCCATAGCCCCTCTCAACAGCTTGGCTGGAGCTCTGCGACCCTCAGTTTTTCTTCATATTCAAATGGAACTCCCTTTGTTTCAGTTTGTGCTCATTGATCTTCATCCTGAAAAGAGCCTGATCTCATCCACTTGACTCCCACGCTTTACATATTAATAAACATAGATAAGATCACTTCTGTTTTCTCCATAAGAACAGCCTCAGGTCTCTCAGTCTTCCCTCATAAGGGAGATGCTCCAGTTCCTTAATCATCTTTGTGGCCCTCCACTGGACTCTCTATAGAAGATCTGTTTTGAACCAAAAGCCCAGAACTGGACACAGTGCTCCAGCTGTGGCCTCACCAAGGCAGGGGGGAAGATCACCTTTCACGACCTGCTGACCGAGCTCTATTTAATGCACCCCAGGACACCATTGGCCTGCTTAGCCACAAGGGCACACTGCTGACTCATGGTCAACAGGTCCTTTTCTGTAGAGCTCCTCTCCAACAGGTGAGCCCCTAACCTGTAGTTACGCATGCAGCTATTCCTTCCTAGCTGTAGGATTCTGCACTTGCCATCATTGGGCCTCATACGATTCCTCTCAAAGATAAGCGCCAGAATTTAGTAACTTTTCTTTTTTTAAAAAAAAAAAATCAAATTCCTAAATGTTAAATTTCCATTAAAAAACAAACAAACAAACAAACAAAAACCACCATTCACTTTAGATGTATTATTTATCGCTCCTGAATTAGTCTCTATTGTTAATAATTTTTCCTGCTATATTCTGCTACTTAAAAGCTTTCTATTTGGAAGACAATGGCAACTCATCCTAGAAGCCCTCACAATTCAGACAACCACTTCAAACCACATTGATGCTTTCTGAATTCTTCATAAAGTATATTAGGATTGTTGCTTTCTTAATCCTCTGAGAAACACTCTTCATGAGCATAAAAACATCTATATAATATTCCCATTTTTGTGAAAGGCATATCTTACAGCAAGAAAAGCAGTGTATAATATTCTTGCCATTGCCTTGCTCCTAAATGGCTGTACTCTTTATAAACAAATCTAGAATAGTCCTCCCATAGCTGATTTTTTGTTATCAAAATAAGTACTATTACACATGAGCTTCTAAACTGCATCTAACCATGTAACCTCTTGTTTGCCAGAAATTGAATAATCCTTCTTTTATATAGTTCACTAAATAAAGTCTGAAGAAATAATACCTAATACCTGTTTTGTACATGAGACAGCTATAGTATACAAAAAAGTCCATCCCTAGCAGAGAACACTCTATTTAAACTTAAAAATCTATGTATCCAGGTAATCACAATTATTTTGAGTTAATTTATAGTACTGTTGCAAAATCACCTTTTTTAAAAAAAAAAAAAATTAATGAAAGAATGTATAAATATTATTTTTAAGAATGTTGGTATATCTAGATGTTTCTCAGGAAGCTTTTTCTTTTGTTGGTGACCAATGTAGAATGCACATTTCACTGAAGAACATTTAAAATTTACCAAGCAAACATACTGTAATTCAAAATACAGACAGCTGCTCATGCGTCAACATCCAAACTAAATAAATATTGTATTTTCAATTCCGTTTTAACAAAACAAAGGTCCTATGTAGTAAAAGACTAAAGCACACATACATCTTGTTCAGTTCTGCTAAAGAACAATGATTCAATATAAGCTAGTATTTTAAATTTTAAAATATGTAATCAAAACGGCGCACATTATATAAGCAGAGTCTGTATTAAGAGGAAGAAAAAGAATACAGTTTTCACTTATTCTGTGACTATGTCGTTGTTCTACAAAGTGAGTTGGACCTCAATTTTTTTTTTCCATGAGGCCTGCAAGAAAGATCTAACTGGACAGTACAATTTCTTAAAAAAAACATGAATGTGTAAATTGTTAACATCTTTTCAAGAGCTATTCAAGCAGCATTCCTTGTTTCTTCATAATACCTACTGATATTCATAGATATTTTAAGACAATTTTCCAAGACCTACTACTTTACTTTCTCAGCTTCAATACTGACAAGTTTAATTCAGAATGCTAACATAAATAGTACTACATGATAAGGATATTTTTTTTTTAACTATACAAGGAGCAAATATTTACCTTCTGCAAGCATGTCAGGCACATCTGCTTGATATCTGGGCCCCACTCTGATTTCTCCTTTGTCTGCCAAAAGCGTTTTCAGTGATGGATCATACACCAATGAATAAAAAAAAGTATCCTAAAAAAGAAGATACATTTGCAATAGCATAATGAATTTCAGAATTAGCGCTGTAGATCTACCTCACCTTCCGTGTGAAAATAATTAAAGTAACCTCTCTCATGCGCTTTTACAGACTACAGGTTTGGCAGAAGACTAAAAATTTTGAAACATTAATCATTTTAAAGAACGCAGATCTTTCACGTGAATACTTTTACATGGTTAATCAAAGCTTTTCTCATTGCTAGAAGTTATTTCAGAATAGAGCAGCAAGGAAAGGATCAATACTCATAAAACATACCAACAGATTAAAAAAAAAAAAAAAAAAAAAAGAGAGCTGTTACTCATTTTCTGAACTTAATGTTTCCTTTCCTAAATATTTTACGATACTGACTTTTCATACATTAGTCTCAAACAGCACAAGAAAACTGAGGTTAAGCTGAAAAGGGCTTACACAAACACAGAGTTGACATATCTTGTACACTCATCTGTAGTAAATGTTAGGTGTTGCTCTCAAAAACATTCTACAGATTATCAGTGGTTTTTGGTGTAGAAATATGAAAATTAAAAAATGCTAATTCCAACCAAAAAAAACACCGTCTTAATATTACATTAAGATTTCCAAATAAAAGTATATTTATTTTTAAAGGTATTTTGCATTACAAAACTAGCTTCAAGACTTATCTTTCAAATTCATGGATAATTTGTTTCCTTTCTAGTAAAGCTAATTCCCTTCTACCAGAAAGGAAAGGAGATGTTTTGCTTACAGTAGTTTAAACTACTAAAAATTAAACCACTATGCTACGCTACCCTCTGGAAGAGCATCCCATCTTTCATCCCATTGACTTTACAACACAATATTTTGTCTCTGGAAGACTTGTCTTTCTATAACACCTCAAGACAGAAAAATAATAACTGCACAAAAATTAGAGAACAATAAGAACAAAACCAGAAAAATACCACATTGTGAATTTCTCTCTAAGTCTACATATTTTTATTTTGTAAGATACCATGTGAATTACTTTGAGTTAACTATTTTTTAAGAAACCTGTAATGCGCCATTTCAGTTCTTGTTCCAAAGCACTTTCAAAATCAGTGTTCTCAACATTTTTCTAACATAACATCCAATAAAGCAATTGTTCACCCACTTACTGAAAACAAAGGCATAAAGCAATCAAACAAAGCCAAACAGAATAAACATAAAACTATTCCCAATATTTATACAAATAAAAATCACAAACATTACCTCTTTCTCCAGATACGACAACACAGATTCTGTCTCATTCAGAAGTGCAACGCTGCATTTTCCCCTATAAATACATAAGAAATAACTGTTACTTTTGTAAAGTTAATTGTTTCTGTTGTCAAAAAACCCTGCAAATTTATTTTTAGTCTAACTTTATTATAAGGCAATGCAAGCAGATATGGATGAAAAATGTTGTGTGCTGATTCCTCTTGCTAGCATAGGCTTTTTTTTTTTTTTTTTTTTTTTTTTTTAATGCTACCATTTTCAATTCTATTATTTCTTTGTAACAATCCACTACTTCCTGCATTTCACGTACCTAACTTTTACTTAACTTCTATCAATTTGGGCAGTATTTACCATGAGGTCCTAGTGGTCTAGGACATAGAACAGGACTGTCTACACAAATCCATTCTATCTGCAACAGATTAGCACACAAATAAACACTAGAAAGGACAAATTACTTTAGGGATCTCTGGGATTTGAAGATGTAAAGACTCAAAGATATTATAGCAAAAATCCCTCATTTATTTCAGAGAATGTTTTCTCTTAAACTCAACTGCAGATATTACATGCCAATTGTTAACTGCAGAAAAAAAAAAAAAACCACAAAAAAAACATCAAAAACATAGCTAATGTCTCTTTCATTACTGCTGGAATAGAAACAGAGTTAAAACATTCATTAATATATAAGCTCTTGAATTTCTCTTAGTCTCAGTATTTGTCAAGAGAAACACAATTCCGAAGAGAAATGTTGGAAAAATTAGACTGAAAAACCTGAGCACAACACACAACAGTAAGTGAGAAGATTCCTGCAATAAGAAACGAGGAGAACATCTCTATTATCAATTATGTATTTGAAGATTTTTTGGAGCTTTTGACCTTGATAATTCCAGAACACTAATATCTAACGATTAATTCTATGCTATACCATGAAGACAGTTCACTACCTTTTTTTTTTTTTTTTTTTTTTTTTTTTTTTTGTATTAAACCTGAATAGTTTACCTTCCCAGTTTACTTCTGTTCTGTTCAGTTCACTCCAGACTACCCTTATTTAACTCCAATTATGGCAGAGGCTTTCCTTCACTGCCACTGTGGCTGAAAGGGCATAGTATTGACTGACCTTATACCATATTGCTGGAAGTTTAAAAAGCTTTGTTTTATTTCATTAAGAGAGAAGATTAATTTCCACAGCACATCTCCCAGCTGAGTGAATTTCTATTTGATATTAAATTTCTTTGTGCAGCATTTTAACCATCTAATGGCTGGAATCATAATTAGTATTTTATGCGCTTCTAAGATTTTTCACATGTATGAATTATAGCCTAAAAAAATAATAAAAAAAAAGAATACAAGGCTAACTGCTAAAATGAAAAAAAAAAAAAAAAAGCACTTAGAAACAGGTAATCTGATCAACTATAAGGAACACCACAATAAAAAGAATCTGTATTATAGTTGCCAGCTTCCATGATCCATAAATGTGATATCCTTACTATAAGTATATAGAATCAAAAGGCATAAAATCCTATCATTTCTATATCTGTTCATTCTCTCTCCCTTTCCCCCCATGTCCCAACTAGAGGAAGATCTTCTCAGCCTACTATAAATGGTCATTTTGATTGAAACAATGCACTTAGCTCAGTAAATTGTCACAAACCTATCAATCACGTATACTTAGGAAATAACTCAGTGCAGACTTAAGATGATGCAATCCTAAATATTCTTTTAACCACCATTGTACTCTTCACCTCTTCTTCCAATACTAATAATCAAAAAGCCCTTTGAGAAAATTAATGTGGTTTAAACCACATTGCAACCAGACTGGTCTCAGTGACTGGATAAAGAGAAACATCACTGCCATTTGTAAGAAGAGATGAAACACTGCATCCAAGCTTAGGGACCCCAAAACAAGACAGCTGCTGGAGCAGGTCCAGTGGAGGGCAACAAAAAAGACCAAGTGCTGGAGCACCTCTCCTATGAAGAAAGGCAGAGGGAGCTGGGCTTGTTCAGCACGCAAAAGTCAGAGCTCTGGGGAGAGCTCACTGCAGCCTTCTAGTACTTAAAGGCAGCTCGTTATCAGGAGGGAGACAAGAATTTTTATGTCATCTGATAGTGGTAGGATAGGGGAAATGCTTTTCAAATAAAAGAGGGGAGATTTAAATTAGAGGTTGTAGGGGAATTTTCACCTAAAGCATGGTGAGGTGCTGGAATAGGTTGTCCAGAGAAGTTACAGATGCTCAGAGAAGTTACAACCACCTCCAAGGATGACACGTCCAAGGTCAGGTCAGATGGGGCCCTGGGCAAGCTGGACTAGTGTCTGACTTACTGGTTGGCAAACTTGAAGGGAAGCTGGAACTAGATGACCTTTAAAGATCCACTGAAACCTTCTGATTATCATTCAGTTGTAATTCTGATTTGAGCTATATTCCTCTATCATGCTGCATCCCTGACTTCACTGTTCTCAATAGTAAAAATTACTGGTAAATAGCATCAGAAGGAATCAAAGATGTTGCTCTAACATTCCTGGTTTTGACTTTGTCTATTTACGCTCTAAAAAATTGTTATTATTTCCCAGGGAATTGGGCAAAATTGATCTTGTATGAATGTTGAGTAGATCTTTCTGATACCTCAACAATGTACAAATTACAGCAAACAAAGTTAGCATTTATGTCTTCACTTACAATTTAATTTTGATAAAATTGCCACTTCAGAATCCATTCTACTCTCAGAGGTACTTAAATGTACTTAAACTGATAAAAGATAAAAAGTTGCTCCATTTAGCTGACAATACCAACATAACTTGCCAGAGTATTAAATCAGTAAACAAACAAACAAACAAACAAGCAGGTTATTTACAGATCTTTCAATAAAAGGAAATAACAAAGCTTACCTGGGTATATGCTCATGGTATTATCAGCCTCTGTTATATAAACCAGTCAGGATTCAATTACTTCTCCTGTCCTAGAAAGCTCAGCTGTAACTCGTTTTTTTCTTTAAACCAGTAACCATGTGAAAGTTGTTTACACACATTACACCTTCATTCATTGCTACCTTAGAAGTTTTTCCCAGTTGTTAAATCTTTTGTTGCATCTTTCAGCTAACTCCACCACTATCTGACAATTCTCAGCCATATACACACATCAGTTAAAGGATGCCTAACAATCTCCTCCTTTTTTCATGCCTACCACCTACTTGAGTTATTTCAACAAAGCCATTCTGGTACAACACAGAATTGAAATCCAAGCACATTTCACACTAACTCTAAAACAGTATTTTTTTGAGGAAAAACAAAAACCAAACCAAACCAAAGCAACACACTTTAATGATTTTGGAGAAAATAAATTCTTCAGTAGGCCAAACAGTGAGCCTCAGTCTTAAAACCAACCTGCTAACAATTTACAACTAAAACAGCAAATAAACACAGGGAAACTAGTGAAGGTTATAAATAAATGGAAAGACATACTAGCCATCTTGGTATGCAGCAGTCCCAAGAAAGTGAACAAAAAGATATTTCCTTTCTTTTTTCAGGGAGTTACTCTGCTTGTTTGCACTGTCCCTGTAATCACCCCTTAAGATTTTTCTTAAAGTAATCAATATTATACATATATTTTATACAATTCCTCAACAAAAAATAATGATGAAAACCAGATCTTAAAAGTACCAGAATTAATCAAAATCAACAGCTATTTTTATCATTTGAAGTTCTTATTTTGGCCCAGTCCATCCTTTTAAAACAATAGAAACCTCTACAATTTCTGCTCTGTCACTCTTGCAGGCTATTTCGTCACCTGTTTTCACTAGATCAGTAAGACAGACCATGAGATGTAAGCCTTCTTTTAATAATTATCTGTTCGGACAGGAAATATACTAGCAAAAATTACAGACATAAATTACAAAAGAAATGCAATACTTAAGCGTCTGTTAAGCAGCACAAGCCACAGAAGTGGAAAAGGGCCTGGTGGCTAAGGTATTACGTCCCACAAATTTCCTGTTGTAATGTAGTTGTATCTTGGGTAAGACTGGCACAGAGTATGAACTTTCAGAACTCACTGTTCTGGGTTCCCACCAAGTCAATGGAACTTGCATTGCATTAGTCATGCTGATGCTATTTGAAGAAGAAAGGTAATATGTGCAGTGGTGACCCCACAGACTTTGAAATTCTGCTCTTAACAATTACTCATCGCCTTCCTGAATTTGACAAGATAACATCGGGTAATTCCATGCAAGTAAACCAATTGTCTCTTGATCTCGATCAAAAAATGCTGATCTTAGTAGAAATTTGAAATATGAAACTTTGCCACTAGTTGGATAGTAAGAACAAAGTAACTGCAAAGAATATTAGGAAATGTTATGCTTATAAGGAAAATCTGATTTGATTTTAACATATGCTGCTGTTTCAATGACAACTAGAAATCAAACAGAAGATAAAGTGGAAAACTGAGAGGGGCTGTAAGGTTTTAAGCAAAACGAGACCACAAGAGCAACCATTCTCCAATGAGTCATAAAGGAAAAAAAGGGGAAAAAGGGCACAGAAAGTAAAGGATGAGACAGCTACCTTAAATGAACAAGGTATTTCCTGAATTATCTGAAATGTTTTTTGAAGATTTCCAAACAACTACTTTGAGCCAAGTCATGACCACTTACAAGAAGTCTAGATTGCAATGATTATTGCCAAATCACATACTAGGAGCTGCAGAGTTTTAGGACCTTGCTCTAATTACATAAAATTGATTCCCCACTTGTGGGAAGCAAATATCAAGTACACTTACGTATTTTGCTTTTAAGTGCAGCTCAGGGAGCACAGAACGATGCTGACAGACACAAGTACATAGCAACTTCCAAGCTCTCCAAATTGCATAGATATTTACAAATGGAGTGCAAGATACAGCACTCCACGAAAATACATTGAATAACATAAAAGCATTGTTGCAGTAACTAAAAGCTGTAACAGACTCCCCAGCTAGAGTTTGGGTTTTTTTTTTTTTTTAAATATTCACAATATATAGAAGATAGATTCTGACAGAAGAGAGATCTGCACTCATTGATTCCTCTTGGGCAGAGTTTAAC